CTTAAGAAACATGAGAGGATTTTTGGAAGATTTGCTCCAAGCAACCAATTCATTAAGAAAAAGGACCATCCATGATCTATCTACCTTTAATAAAAGGCGGGTATTCCATGTCTTAACGGGTAGTGGGATGGGGATGAGTCTTGATTTTCATACCTGAAGCGAAGACAGAGCAAGGACGAATATGGTATTATCTGCACTGTTGGGTCGAGTACCCACAACTATGGGATAAGAAATTAGGTATGATTTTCTATATTATAACCCTTTTATATTATATTATATATTTTTTCTATATGTAACCCTTTTATATTATATTATATTTTCTTTAGAGTATATTACACGAATTATCCCTATGGTTTGGAGTAATTTGCGTGCTTGGTCACTAATTAATTTTATAACTCGGAAGGTCCCTACTGTTTGTTTTTGTTATGCGCTTGGTCCCTACTATTTGTTTTTGTTACACGCTTGGTCCCTACTGTTTGTTTTTGTTACGCGCTTTGTCACGTCCGCAGATTCGGGTTAGTCAGTTTAGAGATAATAAGCGTTAAAAATGACTTTTTGATAGAAGATTATGTAGAGTAAATAATCTCAACTTATATTATATGTCAAAAGGATTCCGTACATATTAACAACGCTGAAATCTGACTTATAACGAAGAAGTTATGACTCGTCGAAGATTTACGGCCAAACCGGCATGGCACCGCGTTACGTAAAAAGTGAATTTTTGATAAACTAATTTTTAGCCTTAGCGATCTAAACAAAAGTCGTAGTATATGTTAAAACCAAGAGCGTGCATATAGAGAACGTCCAAATCTGACTTTGTATGAGGAAGTTATGATTTTTCTAAGATTTTGTATAGTAGTGCACAGCCCGGAAACCGAATTTTAGATCGATCGATTTTTAGCCGACACGACCTAAATTATAATTGAAGATCTCATTAATAGGAGTTCAACGATAAAAATACAGCCGAAAACGGAGTTCGTATGTAGAAGTTATGAATTTTACACAGGCGTTAATAGTTTAATCTTCTCATACTGTTAAATTTAAAATCTGTTGAGAATTAGCCGATGGAATCCAAATGAGAGTTGTAGATCTTGTCAATACCTACGCGTGGATATAAAGAACGTCAAAAACAGAGCTCGTATGCGAAAGTTACGGATTTTAGAAGATAATTACTTTTTGGGATAATCTGCGAGTGACATGTAGCGCGATCTGAGCCGTTGCTTCCTCCCCACGCCTTGCCACCATATGGTGACATTTGGCACCTCAATACGACGTGTTGGGGGCTCAGAAAATGCCGCGTTGGCCATTTTCAGCCTATAAATAGAGCCGTAATTCACCTCATTTTCTCATACATTCACCCTTCTTTCTCTCTCAAACTTCTCTCTAAACCCCTAGCACTTCCCAAGTGTTATAGGCGAGTCCCGAAGAGCCAGAAGACTCCGAGAAGAAGAGATTTCGGCTCAGAAGTTTTGCCCTCACAGAGCCCGGTTCCTAACCAAACCCCCCTGTAAGTGAGTTATGCTTACCCTACTCTAAGTATAACTTATGTAAAAAATTATTATCGTTATTAGGAACCTATAATCAATATATGAGACAAATATTATGAATTATAGTGTTGTAATGTTGTTATAATACCTTTTTAACTGCTCACAGTATGGGGAATTCGGTTTGGAGGGCCACTTGGGTTGTTGGATTTCAGAAGTGCTTAAATGCCAAAATGGTCATGCCCTCTGCTGTTTCATGTTTGACCATGTCTGTACATAGTAGTTAGAAAGTATTGTTTAACACTTATATAATACAAGAAAAACAATATTGCTCGTAATTAGTCGCAATGAAAATAGACTAAAATCTAGTAATAATGATACTAGGTTTCGTCGAAGGAAAATGAAATTGTTAGAAGCGAAGCGTTGCCCGAGTTTCGAGTCATCACTTTGACAAGTGAGTGCATAGTCCCTTTCATGAACATGACTTTAATAGAAGTATTAATTAAAGTATTAAATATATGTTGATGTGTGAAATATTTGATATTACCTGAAATACGTGTTAAGAGTATATCTGATAATATATGATGATTTAGGGTACAAAGTAAGCCTAAATGAACTAAGATGAATATTGGGTAGTATCTTCTTATGAGTTCGGGTGAGATATACACGGAGGGTAGAACTTTTAAATATGTCATTAATCCGAGAACATGGATTAGACATAGTCATTTGTCCCTAGTCCGAGAGTATGGATTGGACATAGTCATCTGTCATTGATCCGAGAGCATTAATCAGACATAGTCATTTGTCCCTAGTCCAAGAGTATGGATTGGGCATAGTCATTGGTCATTGATCCGAGAGCATGGATTAGACGTAGTCGTTCTTTTCTGATCCGGGAGTATGGATTAGGTAAAGTCGTTCATTTCTGATCCGGGAGTATGGATTAGGTAAAACGGTTAATTTTAGATCCGAGAGTATGGATTAGGTAAAACGGTTATATATATATATATATATATATATATATATATATATATATATATATATATATATATATATATATAAAAGCATCATGGGATTGAAATCTCTATGTACTCACCAGGTTCCCCAACCTAACCCACTCAGTTTATTTGCTTATATGAGGTGAAATTGCTTATATGAGTTGAAATTGTATATTATGAGTTATAATATATATATATATATATATATATATATATATATATATACATACATACATATTAAAGTATTGTGGGATTGAAATCTCTATGTACTCACCAGGTTTCCCAACCTGACCCACTCAGTTTATTTGTATCACAGATATCAATGCGAAGATACATTACACTGAGTGATTGAAGGATATGTAAATCATTAGTATAAATAAATGTAAGGTCTGTTTATGCTTATGTTTTTGTATTGACGATGATATCCCAATGTTTTAAAATGAATAAAATACATTTTTTTGGAAATGCTTTGATAATATATTTATCATGTTTCCCGGGAACAAATTCCGCAATACTATCCTTCAAAAAGGATATTCTGATTTTAAAATAATCATAAATAAAATTTTTAAAATGACCGCAAATTTGGGGATGTCACACGCTTGGTCACTGTCTTACCTAAAAGGACTATTACTTAAATAGGGAAAAATAGTGGGGTAGGTAACAGGGGCGGATCCAAGGGGATCCCCGGATACCCCTCAAATTTTTTTTTCGGTAGTGTAATTTTTGTTTACGTATCTCTAAAAAAAAAATTCGGTATAGTGTATATATACGCATCCCACCACTTATAAACACAAACAAACAATTGGTCTATTGGTTAAGGTGTTGGCTTATTGAAGCAAAGGTCTCAGGATCAATTCTTGCTTCTTACATAACCTTTGTTTACTTTTATTTTATTTTCTCAACTATTCTATCCCATATCGCTAAACACATGTAAACTCAACCATTGTTTTCTATTATATAAACCTATTATGTTCATGCTTTATTTGATATCTACTTTGAGTATACTTCAACTTCATGTTTATATAACAAGACTTGAGTTTAGCTTAGGATTCGTTTAAGATTTGGGTTTAAAACTGAAACTGAACCGGGGAAACCCAAGTACCCCGGAAAAAAAAATTAGGTTACCCTAAAATTTTTTTGGGATACCCATTTACTTTGATCCTGGCTCCGCTGGTAGATAAGGTAAGGTGAAGGGGGGGGGGGTTGAGGTGTGTTAATTTAAATAAATTAAACAATCAAGGGCAAAATAGTCATTTTAGGTAAGACAAGGACCACTCGCGTAACAAAAAAAACAGTAGGGACCTTCCGAGTTACAAAAATAAGTTAGGGACCAAACACACAAACTACCCCAAACCATAGCGATCATTCGTGTAATTTACTATTTTCTTTAACATCATATATTTTTTAAATGTACTTATCTTATTATTATTATTATTATTTACGTCTTGAAGTTATGCCTTAGGAAGTCGATTTATTAGAGAAGCCATTTGCCTTCATATCACACTTCCTGCTTAAAGTGGATCGGAAGAAATTGAAGGTTGAGAAAGAAGGATCAGATGTGTGCAAACAGAATGAACCCCAGATAGAGAAAACATCATTGAGAACAAGAGATTAGAAGATTTGGTGGTGGATAAAGTCAAAAGTGAACCAACACTGGGATCTGATCATAGCCGCCGACTTAAGTTTCGTTCTAGAGTTCGAGCGTTGAAAGTTAGTTCGAGCGGGGACACATTCAAATAGAGAGAAACATCTTGTAAAATCTGAAGTTGTAAGAGATGATTAAACAGTTCCAAGCATTATGGATTTTGATACTTAGTTTATAAAGATTTGTCTTTTTTATTTTGGTTTCTTAACAAAGATGAGAATTAATGTTTGTTTATCATTTTTACTTAGTTGTCTATGAGAATGAAGTATGAGCTGTTGAATGTTTTAATTGTGGTGATTATTGTTATGTTTTTGTTTAATATTTATGAAATTTAATAAAAAAATTGGATATTTTTTACACAACGGGTATCCATTGGTTCTCTATATCCGAGGAGGATTTCTATACTCGAACCAGTCGGAGATTTAACGAGCCGGGGGAAAGTAAGAGTGTGGGGATTGGAGTTCGGGTATAGTTGTCCGGGGACAAGGATTGTAATCCCCACCAATATCCGCCCCGTTTGCATCTCTAAAGTTGAGGGGGTATTTTGCCATTTCCAGAAAGTATCATTAAATTCATGAAAAACGTGTTTGGGGTAGTTTATGTCGTAAGATCAAAATACAAGGACGGAAGGTAAAAATGTAGATTGTAAGCTTCTTGCCCACGTAACGGACGATTCCGACATTCCTACTCCCATAAAACCTCTACCTAAAATCCCGTTTCCCCTTTAACCGATACTGCTCTCTCTCTCTCTCTCTCTCTCTCGCTCGATTTCTCAGGCGATTTTCTTCTCGACGGCGCCACCACTTCGACCAGGTAACCGCCATCGCCCTTGTTCCTCCGTCTACTCCTTCAACCTTTCTATCCGACGTTTTCCTTATGTCGATCCAGCTACGATCGATTGAGTTTTCTCAATCTGTCATCGTCAATAGCAGGTGCTTTCATCACCGGTCTACCCTCTCACTTCCGGTTAAGGTGTTGGCTTATTGAAGCAAAGGTCTCAGGATCAATTCTTGCTTCTTACATAACCTTTGTTTACTTTTATTTTATTTTCTCAACTATTCTATCCCATATCGCTAAACACATGTAAACTCAACCATTGTTTTCTATTATATAAACCTATTATGTTCATGCTTTATTTGATATCTACTTTGAGTATACTTCAACTTCATGTTTATATAACAAGACTTGAGTTTAGCTTAGGATTCGTTTAAGATTTGGGTTTAAAACTGAAACTGAACCGGGGAAACCCAAGTACCCCGGAAAAAAAAATTAGGTTACCCTAAAATTTTTTTGGGATACCCATTTACTTTGATCCTGGCTCCGCTGGTAGATAAGGTAAGGTGAAGGGGGGGGGGGGTTGAGGTGTGTTAATTTAAATAAATTAAACAATCAAGGGCAAAATAGTCATTTTAGGTAAGACAAGGACCACTCGCGTAACAAAAAAAACAGTAGGGACCTTCCGAGTTACAAAAATAAGTTAGGGACCAAACACACAAACTACCCCAAACCATAGCGATCATTCGTGTAATTTACTATTTTCTTTAACATCATATATTTTTTAAATGTACTTATCTTATTATTATTATTATTATTATTTACGTCTTGAAGTTATGCCTTAGGAAGTCGATTTATTAGAGAAGCCATTTGCCTTCATATCACACTTCCTGCTTAAAGTGGATCGGAAGAAATTGAAGGTTGAGAAAGAAGGATCAGATGTGTGCAAACAGAATGAACCCCAGATAGAGAAAACATCATTGAGAACAAGAGATTAGAAGATTTGGTGGTGGATAAAGTCAAAAGTGAACCAACACTGGGATCTGATCATAGCCGCCGACTTAAGTTTCGTTCTAGAGTTCGAGCGTTGAAAGTTAGTTCGAGCGGGGACACATTCAAATAGAGAGAAACATCTTGTAAAATCTGAAGTTGTAAGAGATGATTAAACAGTTCCAAGCATTATGGATTTTGATACTTAGTTTATAAAGATTTGTCTTTTTTATTTTGGTTTCTTAACAAAGATGAGAATTAATGTTTGTTTATCATTTTTACTTAGTTGTCTATGAGAATGAAGTATGAGCTGTTGAATGTTTTAATTGTGGTGATTATTGTTATGTTTTTGTTTAATATTTATGAAATTTAATAAAAAAATTGGATATTTTTTACACAACGGGTATCCATTGGTTCTCTATATCCGAGGAGGATTTCTATACTCGAACCAGTCGGAGATTTAACGAGCCGGGGGAAAGTAAGAGTGTGGGGATTGGAGTTCGGGTATAGTTGTCCGGGGACAAGGATTGTAATCCCCACCAATATCCGCCCCGTTTGCATCTCTAAAGTTGAGGGGGTATTTTGCCATTTCCAGAAAGTATCATTAAATTCATGAAAAACGTGTTTGGGGTAGTTTATGTCGTAAGATCAAAATACAAGGACGGAAGGTAAAAATGTAGATTGTAAGCTTCTTGCCCACGTAACGGACGATTCCGACATTCCTACTCCCATAAAACCTCTACCTAAAATCCCGTTTCCCCTTTAACCGATACAGCTCTCTCTCTCTCTCTCTCTCTCTCTCTCTCTCTCGCTCGATTTCTCAGGCGATTTTCTTCTCGACGGCGCCACCACTTCGACCAGGTAACCGCCATCGCCCTTGTTCCTCCGTCTACTCCTTCAACCTTTCTATCCGACGTTTTCCTTATGTCGATCCAGCTACGATCGATTGAGTTTTCTCAATCTGTCATCGTCAATAGCAGGTGCTTTCATCACCGGTCTACCCTCTCACTTCCGGTAAACGGTGGTCCGGCGTTCTCTACTTCTTCAACAGGTATGAATGTTATTTGTGTACTGTGAAATTTGATGAATATGATTTGTGTACCGTGAATCAGATTTCTGGTGATTTGGCTGTATTTTTTCGTAAATATTTTGTCTAAATGTGTTTGAACTTTGAAGCTTTGTGATACTTTAGGGTTATGTTTAGGGTTATTGATTTGTGTACATAGAAGCTGTGAAGTTCTTGGTTGTGTATGATTTTGTTAATCTGGATAGTAACTATGCTATCAATTGTTTGATTTTGTTGAACTTGAAAATTATTGTGTTTCAAGCATGTTAATGACTTAATGTGGATGTATAGGATTCTAGTTTTGTCCCTCTTTTGTCTGAAACAGAAGTATAATACTATAAAAAGTAAAACCAATACAAGTAGGCCAATTGATTTGTGTATATACAAGCTGTGAAATAGAAGTAGAATGCTTGAAACTTTAGGGTTGTGTACATAGAAGCTGTGAAGTTCTTGGTTGTGTATGATTTTGTTAATCTGGATAATATTTATTCTATTACCTGTTTGATTTTGTTAAACTGGAATATTATTGTGTTTCAAGCATGTTAATGTAGATGTTCTAGTTTTGTCTATAATTTTTTTGGGAATTTAACAAATCACTGGAAAATTTTCTTGGCCTTCTAGATTTTGCATGGCCAAAGAGCAAATGGATGCATCTGGTGATGGTGAGAAAACTCGACACCTGTTTTTTTTATTTCTATTTTTAAATAAATAATGGTTTTATTTTAATAACAAATATTATTTATAACTTTTTAGGTGATGTAAAGGTAGTCCTGGACTTATTCCATGATGACTCCTTGTCCAAAGCTGGTTTTGCACATGAGGTATTTATTCTATTACAAATTAAAATTACATCACTTTGCTTTTTGAGATGCTTAATAATGAAAATTGAAATATACCATTTGATTAATTTAGGTGGAAAGTATGCTGTGTTTTGATTTATCTATTATTTATTTCAACTACTTACAAAACTGGGGAAGAAAGTTGTTACGTTTTAAAATGTTAAAAATAATATATAATGGTTTAAGTGGCCAAATCAATAAAATGGTCAGAGCTTTTTGTCTTTTTCTTTTTATCCCCTTAATTCAAACATTTTTACATGCCCAAAGTCATCATTACAAAGAATTAATTATTTTTCCCCTGTTAACAAAGGTTATTTAAGACATTTGGCAAGTAATTATGCATTTTTAGTTATTTGTTTGGGGATTGATAAATAATTAAATATTAATGTTATATATAGGTGGTTAACTGTATTCAAGAATTACGTGAAATATCTGAACTTGAACCCAACTACCCAGTGGAGGTCTACTTCAAGTCCTTGGATGATGACACATCAGCATCTGCCCAAATTTTAAAATCTCAGGTCAATTTTATCATCTCATTATTAAAAATATTATGTTTATGGTTATTTATAACACATGTAATTTTCATATTATGCAGGAAGCATACATCAAAGAGGCCATAGGTTCTCCTTTACTAGACTCTACCCTCATTTCCGAACATGCTGTAAGATTTCACACACACACATGCTATATGTAATATTTATTATTTGTGATGTTATATTATAAATTAAATTGATATTTTAATATATTATGAATATTGAATTTAATACTAGTTATTCTTGGGAATATGCAGGTAGTGATTGCTGAGAAGACGTATCGCAACATTTCAAATTGTGATTTTCAGATCACTTTGACAAGACAAACATTAACATTTAACGATAAAGCAATCCTTGATTTATATTCAGGTCATCTCGTTTTCTCCTTTTTTATATGAGTTTCTTAATAAACTTTAATATTATTATAATATATGTACTTTAAATATGATTATGAAACCATTTAACAACAATGACAATAAGTCAATAAGAATAACAGTTACGTTTGTTGTGTATAGGAAATGCGAAATATGCAAATGCATTGGAGGTGTATTTGTTGTCGAGGGACCACTTCAATCTCAAAACAGAATTTCTTGTGGGAATTAATCAGGTAGGTTTCTCTTCAAAAACAAAAATGCGTTATTTTGTTTATTATTTTTATTTCCTAATTTAAAAGCAATTAATCAGTTTTTATTGTGTGACAGATTAAAGTGGATTGCATTGAAGATCTGCCTGATGTTGATGTGGTGTTGGGAGAGCACGTGTTCTTAAACAGTTGGGGATTATTACTCCCAAACCACCAACAACAACCCTTGACATTCTTTTGGTTAAAAAATGTTGCTTTTTATGAAATGGAACAAGGAAGATAGAATTTAGGGAAAATGACTTATGAGGGTAACTAAGTATTAAAATTGTTCAAAAAATATCATTTACATTTAGTAAGTAAGTATAAAAAATATCAGTCAACTATTGCTTTTATACACATAATACCATCCAAGTACATTATTTTGTCAAATTACATCTTATGGTAACCGGTACTTTGGGTTAGTAAATAACTTGACATATATATTGCTGAGATGGAAGTAAACTGGTAAAAAGGTAATTCCATGTTGGAAAAGAATTAGACCAAACATTCCTCTTTGATTTTGAAGGACTAATGACCTTTACAAGATACTGTTTGTGATTATAAGTAGAAAAAAGTTTGGTTTTTTTTTTTTATTGGGGTGCCATAGTGTGACATCCGTCAACACTCAGGTTAATATCCAATTTGAACCTCACAACTTTCATGTGTAAACATAGCTAATTCTAGATGTTATATTAGAATTTTGACATGGATATGTGAATACATCAACTATGTTATAAAGTGTCAAAGTTTAGTCTTAAAACTAAACACAAAAATGTTGGTAGATCAAAGTTCAAGGATAAGTTAAATACCCTAATTACCCCATTGGAACCTATGAAGTGCTTACCTAGTTTAAGACTTTAAGTATTTAACAAACTCAAATTAATTAAATCATAATATGATTTAGTTACAAGTTGGAATTATTGTCCACACAACATAATTCAAACATTCATGTAATCAAACATTCTCATTTTATAAACTCTTATATCATTATATGAAATATAATATTTATGTTTATAAAATATAAATTATAAGTTAAATAATTGTCAAAATAATGAAACAGAATACAAGAATTTATAGACTTATTTATAAAAACAAAAATACATAAATAAAAACCAGCACAAATGACCCTTGAAAATTTATAAAATTATACTTAGAATTTTATAAAAGTTAAAAGCCAAATCTTATAAAAATGAAAGAAGGCCTTTATGAATATGTCAAGTACCAAGAACACACTCTTCTCTCTCCCTCTTTTCCTTCAAAATTTGGCAATTCCCTAGGCCCTCTCCCTCTTTCCATTTAGTCACCCTCACTTCACTCATTAACACTCTTTCTTCACTCCATCTCCTTCCTCCAAGAAACTATTTCCCTCTCTCAAAACACACTCAAACTCAGTCACTAACAACCCTAAACCCATGAAATTTTGAAGATTCTTGGGTGTTCTTGAAGCCCAAAATCGAATCTAGGTAAGGGACTTCATTCTATCCTTCATCCTCTTCATTTAGATGCAAGTTCTAACATGTTTTCTCTTCTTAAACTCGGATTCTATGCCCTTTTAATGGCTAGAATATTTTCTTTCATCTTAGTGTTTGTAGATTTTCACCAAAACACATTGCATGTGTCAACAATGGTGAAAATTCGGGATCAAACCTATGCTAAGAATGAGAGGAAGCATGAATGTTCTTATAACTTTAAAAACCGGGTTCAACACCTTCATCTTCTTATTTTTATGTTTTCATATGATAAAACCATTTCTAAGACATCTTGGGTGTGTTTACATTCCATGCATATGTTAGAAATCAGATTTTTCGGTGCAAGATCCTAGTACATGATTCGGTTTCAAGGAGTTCTTCACTAGTGAGAACAAAACACCTATTTTTAGGTCTTGGAAAACCTAAATCCATGACTTGGCTTCCTGCACATAATAGTTCTTTGTTCCTCTGTAAATATTGGTATATTATATTTTCATTTTCAAGCAAAAAGAATAAGCCATTTGTTCTTGTGAAAATATGGCTAAAAAAGGCACTTTAAACAAACAAAATACAACCTGCAATCTGCCAGATTTCTTCATTTGACTTTGAATCGCCATATCTTACTCATTTCTTAACCAAAAATCGAGATTTTTTTTTTGAGATATGGTATTTTGAGTTAACTTTCGAACCCAAGTGGTTTCACTAAAAACATTAAGATTTCGACATTCAAACAATTTTTACAAAAAACAACACTTCTTTTGTGAGTACTAGTTTTGTGTTGCATGTTCAAGAGAGTTAATCATCACTAAAAATCCTTGAAAAATTATTTTGAACTCCTAACATGTTAAAACATTATTCTTATATTTCATGGGATGTAAATATACTATTAAAACATTATTGAAATGTTGGTACAAAATCTCAAACTTTCAACTCAATTTTTTTAGTTCAAACACTAATAAACATTTATTCTTATATTTCATGGGATGTAAATATACTATTAAGCACCAAATAAAACAAAAATCATTTTTTTTTCAAAGAGCTTATGATATGATTAAGTTTTATGTAAAGTTTCAAGTGCTAAAACTATTTTCTTATTATTATTATTTTTTTTTTACAAAAATAAGTATTTTAGAACCATAAATGCCAAATAAATACTTCCAGTGGTCAATAAATTCTAGGAACATTCCTAGACGATCTATACTGAGAATAAGCAATCCATGTAAAATAAAAATTCATGTAGACTAAACAATCCATGTAAAATAAAAATTTATGTAGATTAAGCAATCCATGTAAAATAAAAATTGGTTTGTGTTCAGTAATTATTTCGATTTTCTTAGAATTAAACATGGGTAATTTATAAAACCAAAGTTCCACTGTTTCAAATGATATTTTAATATTTTCCAACTTCATGACATTGTAAAATAGATAAATAAATATTTTGATAATTTTTCATGAACATTTGCTATTTTTCCCTAATTTAATGAATTAAATGGTGGAAAAATAGCTAGACTTGCCCAAAAATTAAGAAAATTTACATGGAAGATCATGACTACTGTTAGAACCACGAAATAAAGTTTCATAATTTTTGGAACTGTTTTGGATGTATTTTTAAAATTTTAATAATTAAAACAACCAATAAAATTATAAATTCTATTACTAATCACATAACCAAAAATTAGGAATTATCAATTGAAATTCTTACTAAACTAAAGGGTTCTTAAAATCATCATATTTCAGAAAGTTAGTTACAATTTATGTGAAATTTAATCCTATTATAACCTTGACATTTTATAAAGTATAAGTTTAGTACATTTAGCATTAGAATTAATCAAGAAACTCACTAGAAACTTATTGTTCCATAGGACGCTAGTAGGAGTTGATCCCATAATCATCAAATCGCAACGCTTCGAACATCAAACTCTCCCTAGTGAGTATTCACGACCTTTTATTATTATTATTATTATTATTATTATTATTATTATTATTATTATTATTATTTTTTTTTTTTACTTTTTTGGGGGAAAAGCATGTTATCATTTATTTAAAACTGTTGTACAAATTGTTGAGCTTTTAACGCTTTTATACTTAAATTGTGTGTATGTAAATGTTGATACATGAGGCCTTATCGCGGTTATGTCCCCGAAACATTTCACAACTTATTAACTCTTTGAGTCGATAGTCATTATTGATAGTGCTATTAGGATTTGACAACTCCTCACTCACCCCGAACATGGAGTGCATATTACCATGTACTATCTATGTTAGCGATAAACATAGATCTTGATAGGGCGTGTTATAGTCGTAGGCTTAGTTGTGAACTCATTGTGTTATACATAACACACATATAAACTGAATTACTCATTTTAGTAACGAACTTTTATCTATGGAAACTTTTATCAATAATTGGTTTTTGACTTAAAATCTTATATGTTGAAAACCTGTGAACTCACCAACTATTTTTGTAGTTGACCTCTTATTTTACATGATTTTCAGGAACTAAGATGACACTTAGAGACACAACACTCATAGATGCATTTTGCATGTTTTCGCATGAAGTGTAACGAATTATTTTTGAACGATGCTTTTGAAACTATTTTAAATTCTAATGTTTTTATATACCATGGTTGATATTTTCTTTAACTTTTTCAATAAGACCTTTTGTAATGTTGTACCCCGTGTTTCCGCTTTAGCTGGATGTGACAGATAGGGAGGATGATGAATCAAAGAAGTTTATAGGTTGGTCACCCCCTTAAACAAACGTGTGAGACTACATGGTTTTAGATATGGTTTCTCAGAGTCTTCCATGTGGAGAAAAAAAACCACAAAATACAAAAGAATCCATCAAATCTCAGTCTATCTTTGATGAAATAAACCAAATATGTATGCAAACCCTATAAAAAAACCCCAGATGCCTAGCATTTCGATTTTGTAAGAACTGAAATGATATGAATAAAAGAAGCTATTTCTAAGGGTTGTATATGAATATAATGCAATAAGGGTGAAAAGATGAGCCAACTTGTTAAATCTTGAGGAAAAAAATGTTTCTTAATACAATGAGAGAACCAAAATCGTTAAGGGCTTTCACAAGATCTAACCCTTGATCTCTGTTCGAACATCCTTCCATAGAGATCTTAACGAACTTGTCGTCATACGAAACGTGATTTTTATGAGAGCTTCTGAACTTTGTTTGCAACATTTTGATTTGCGAAACCCTAAGGATCTTCTTAGCGTGTGCCACCACCAACTCACCATCTCAGGGTTTCTCCACCGGATGAGAGAGCATGTTGAGACGAATTCGGCCGCCGCTGGATAAATTTCCAAAATATCGTCTCGTCTCCTCTGGTCGGGATTATGTATTTACGTGGCATCAAAACTAGGGTTGTTCACTATTTGGATAAAACTGAATTGTCCAATTGGAAAATTTGGATTGGACTATTTGGTTCGTATATTCAGATTTTTGGAGTGGTTTTCACTAAAACCGAATTATTATTTTGGATTTCAGATTGGTTTTGGTTTATAAAATAAGAACCGGATAATCCAAAAAGACCGAATAACAATTTATTATTTATTTATTTTTAATATATCTATAATTATTTATTAATTTTATAATTTATGTTTTTCAAAAAAGTTCAAAACGTTTCGCCTGATAAAAAAAATTAATATGCATTTTCTCTCAAAAGTTTTTTATATATTAAATATTAAATTATAATATATCTTCTTAGTAGTTATTTTATAAATTTTAATCACAACTAAATAATGTATTTCTGCTTCTTCTATAAAAATTAGATAATATTATAATTATACGTCGTTTAGAATGTTCTAGTTTTTGAAAACCGAATTATAAAAACGGATTCAACCGAATTGTAATTGGATTAGATCGGATCGGATTTGAATTTAGTTTGGATAATTCGGATCCATGTTTTGAAAATCGAAATCAATTTGGATTTATTTAATTGGATCGGATCGAACCGATCCATCCAAACGAACACCCCTAAATTCAAAACTAGACCTTGCCAAGCCACGTAATTCGCATTCTCCATTTTCTTTTAACCAGTAATTCATGTAATATTTATTCATTTACCTGAATTTGCCGATGACCCTAAGTTCTGATTTGAATAAACCTTATAGTTAGATGGTATTATATGTACAAACACATTAGTTGATTGGTATTTTTTGTACCTAGTATAGTGAATGGTGTTTTTTGAACATTCTTTTACTTAGTACATTTTTTAGTCATTTTCACTAGAATTTATGTAGTCGGTTAGTGTTGTTTTTGTTGTTTGGTCCATTTTGGTCATTGTCTTTTTATTAAGATTATTTATAATAGTTTTGAAACATTTTGGTTCAATTTATAGTTTTATACACAATGTTTCATACAAAGCATTTCCTTTTTGGGTAAACCAATACCAGTGTCATATAGTTGGTCATTATGCATCTGGTGTTTATTTCAAATGTTCTTGAGGTGAGCTACAATTAAAAGACTTACGAATGTTATATGCTAAATTTTGTTTTTCGTCTTCAAGAACTTGGAAAACTGAAAAATCAATGAGTAATGATTCTATTTACACTTCTTATTGACATTTAATTTTGAATTTCATGTTACGGTTTGATTTTGAAAATAAAAATGATTTGGGTTCTCAAGGTTTTGACGATGACAAAAAAGCAGGGTGAACTATGGCTGAGATAACTAAGCTATTAATTGTTATATAGTGGACATGTGATGTGTGGATGGAGTTAATTCTTGGATCAAGACCAAGTGACCAAAACTATTTTGGGACTCTTTGACGGGGTTTGGATATCCGAATTGGAGATTGTCAAAAGTGAGTTTTTTGAACACTTCGAGGTTCGTTTCTTAGCTAGTGGGCACTTTCGGCCAACCATGCCCAAATTTTATATTTTTAGGCCTAATTTGTATAAAATTATGGACTACTTATAACCAAAAAATCAAAAGGGTGGGGTGGGGGGTGGGGGGTGGGGGGTTGGGCACAACCGCTTCTTAAATTGCTCAAAAGTTCTAGCCCAAAACACCAAGTGTTACATATATAAACCACTATTTCATGTGCTAGGCAAGATAGCTTTCGAAGGCATAATCCGGTTTTTGAGTTTGTTCTGTATAGGCTTTACTTGACCCAAAAACCAAGTATTTTATTTGAGTAGATATCAGTTCACATAGGTTGAGATCGGTTTAGCCGTCTCTGGACTGACTTTTATATGTTGGACACCATGACCCTAATAACACAACATGACCCTAAGGCCTAGACTTGTAAGTCGGAGTACTCGAAAAAGGGAAAACCTGAAGAGTACAAATGTGCATACATACACATTTGAATGTAGCACACATTCATATTCAAATGGGGACATTCAAATATGCATATATGCTCGTTACAAAACAACAACAACAAAAAAAAAAGGCAAAACGTTTTTTGTAATTTTTATGGAACGAATTGCCTAGACAAGGCCTTAGGGGTCTGGTGGTGCTGTTAGTTTTGAAAAACTTTAAAAGATTTTTAGTTCTTTAGTTCTCACACAACTTTAAGTTCTAAAAAAAAAACTTTCCTCTATATATCCATCAAACACCTACAAACATAAATTATAAATACATGCCATATTTTACCTTTCTTCTCACCCATGAGCCTTCGACGAACTCCTGCGAATTTCTCTATTGTTGTTTTTAGATCTTTATCAAGTAAATGTTTCATTTTATTAATTTCGTTCTCTCCTCTGCGTGTTTACTCTAGTTGTTTATTTTCTATATCTCTTCATTACTTTGCCATGGGTAGGTCCTTCATATAAGGCATAACTTATATACAAAAGGGATAGTGTACATATTTGGAAAAAAAAAAGAATTTTTTGCTATGCATAAAATCCTCCGTAATTATTTTTGTTATTGTGTGTTCTATATTTTGCTTTGCTACTTTTGTTATAATGTTTTTATAATATTTTTTGTGTTCTGCATTATTTGTTTAAATCTTTATGGGTCGTTAATTAGTTCATATTGCATATAATAAGTTGGAATAATTCTTTATTTGAAGGGCTAATTTTAGCTTATTCAGTTATTTGTATTCAATTTATTTTGAGTTTTTTTTTGGGTTTTACAGACAATGGATGATCTTTGACTGTTTTTTTTAGACATCACACAAGGTTCACATTGTTTTATATAATTGTTTTGCATGTAAATCTATGCTTAACTTAAAACGTATTTTTATGAAATGTTAGTAAAAAACAATTTTGTTACGAGTCACTATTTAAATTTCAAATTCTTTTACAAAACAAACATCAAATTGAAAAAAAAAAAATGAAATTTAAATCTACCAACCAAATCCTTTGAAATCGACGAGAATGGGAAAGGAACAATTAAGACTTAAACGTGGGGAATACGTTATGTTTGTCATTAGCCTGTATTTTTGGCAAGTTACCATCTTCTACACTGGAACCAAAACCCTGCATGCACATTACTTACTACCTTCTACCCTCACATTGTCCCTCATTCACTCTCTGTTTTCCTAACGATTAGGGTTTTGATTGCAGTTCGCAATCAATGGATGATGTATGTGAAGACGAAGCTTTCTCGTTCCCAGAACAAGAAGAGAAGATCTTACAATGGTGGACTCAAGTCAAAGCATTCGAAACGCAACTCGAGAAAACCAAACACCTACCGGAATACGTCTTCTACGATGGGCCTCCGTTTGCCACTGGTCTCCCTCACTACGGCCACATCCTTGCCGGAACAATCAAGGACATCGTCACTCGGTACCAGACCATGACCGGCCACCACGTTACACGGCGGTTCGGTTGGGACTGCCACGGGTTGCCGGTGGAGCACGAGATTGACGTCAAGCTTGGGATTAAGAGCAGAGAGGATGTGATTAAGATGGGGATTGACAAATTATAATGAGGAATGTAGGAGTATTGTGACTCGGTACGTTGGGGAGTGGGAGAAGGTAATTACAAGAACAGGGAGGTGGATTGATTTTAAGAATGATTATAAAACGATGGATCTGAATTTCATGGAGAGTGTTTGGTGGGTTTTTTCTCAGTTATTTAAGAAAAACCTTGTTTACAGAGGGTTTAAGGTTAGTTCTTCAATTCAGCGTTTCGTGATCTGTTCATTGTCAATTCAATACACTATCTACTCTACAAAACGTTTAATTGTCTTCCTGTATTATCAATTGTGTAACAGGTGATGCCGTACAGTACAGGTTGCAAGACTCCATTGTCCAATTTCGAGGCTAATTCAAATTACAAGGTTTGAATTGATGTTTTCCTGTTTGCTAATTGCCATTCAAACAATTCTAAACCCTTTTGTATCACCTTTAATTTGTTGAGAGCAGGAAGTGCCTGATCCTGAAATAATGGTGACCTTTCCAATCGTTGATGATGAAGATGGTGCTGCATTTGTTGCATGGACAACCACACCCATGGACACTCCCTAGCAATCTTGCACTTTGTGTCAACTCAAATTTTGTATATGTCAAGGTTAGTAGTGTAGAGTTGATCTATACTTCCATTTTGATTTTTGGAGTTAAAGAAATAGTTGATGTTAAGTCTATAAATGAAACCAGGTGAAGAGCAAATCGAATGGAAAAATCTATGTAGTTGCTGAATCTCGATTACCAGAGCTTCCAGTAGAAAAGGCTAAAAAAGGAACACCTAATGGAGCTGTGGATGACAAAACCAAGGGATCTAGTTCTAATGGTGGAAAGGCTAAAAACTCTGTGGTTGCTTATGAAGTGTTGGATAAATTTCAAGGATCTTCACTTGTGGGTAAAAAGTAAGTGTGTTTGTTCTCCCTTATTCAATGTGTAAAAATATCCCTAGAAATTTTGTCTAGATAAACACAACCTAAATGACTTTGAGAAGGAATACTTTATCTTGCTTCTACTCAACTTAATCTTGTTTATTGGTAAATTGGTTAAATTTTCTAAATCATTTGTTGCAGGTATGTGCCATTATTTGATTATTTGAAAGAATTCTCAGATGTGGCATTCAGAGTTGTTGCGGATGATTATGTAACTTCAGATAGTGGAACTGGAATTGTGCACTGTGCTCCAGCATTTGGTGAAGATGATTATCGTGTTTGTATGGAAAATCAAATCATTAATAAGGTCTGAAGTATGTTAATTACATATGCATTGTTTCTTTTATATATAATTTTTCAAATAACAAGATCTTACTTTTTCTTGTATATCCAGGGAGAAAATCTAGTTATGGCAGTTGATGATGATGGCTGCTTTACAGAAAGAGTTACTGATTTCAGTGGTCGATATGTCAAAGAGGCAGATAAAGATATCATTCAAGCAGTGAAGGCAAGAATAGTTGAATATTATATAATTATCAACAGGGGTATTTATGTAAAATGATTATTCCAGTATTCCTTACCTTTTGTTATGGATGTATGCAGGATAAGGGCAGACTGGTCAAATCTGGAAGCTTTACACATTCATATCCATTTTGTTGGAGATCTGATACCCCTCTTATCTACAGAGCAGTTCCCAGCTGGTACCCTATTTTTCTTTATCTCTTGTGCAAAAGACGCGAATGCCCTTCTCATCCTCATTATCTTTTTGGTTATTTAGTGGGATAAAGTGGTATCATAAATCATAATTAGTTTAATCTTGTTTCTTGGTCAAGGTTTGTAGCAGTGGAAAAGTTGAAAGATCAACTGCTTGAAAACAATGAGAAAACAAAATGGGTTCCTGCTTTTGTTAAGGTAGGTCATTTATAGTGTTTGGTATGATTTAGTCAACGAAGGAATGGAATGACTCATTCCATTATATTTGCAATTCCATTCCATCTAATAATGCAGGAAAAAAGATTTCATAATTGGCTTGAAAATGCAAGAGATTGGGCCATTAGTAGAAGTAGATTTTGGGGCACTCCTCTTCCTATTTGGATCAGTGAAGATGGTGTGGATATTAAAGTTATTGGTTCAGTTGAAGAACTTGAAAGACTTTCAGGGATCAAAGTAAGTATAATATTCTTTTTGTAATTACAATATACTTTTGTAGTTGTTTTAAAAATATATAATATTCTTTCTTCACACAGGTTACTGATTTACATCGCCACAAAATTGATCACATCACAATTCCTAGTCCACGTGGTGAAAAGTTTGGTGTGCTTCATCGTGTAGAAGATGTAAGAAAATCATAACAATAAAGAGCAATATTATTTTCTTGATTGATGAATTAATTGATCACAATATTATTTGTTGCATAAATTCAGGTATTTGACTGTTGGTTTGAGAGTGGGTCAATGCCATATGCATATATCCACTACCCATTTGAAAATGAAGAATTCTTCCAGAAGAATTTCCCTGGACATTTTGTTGCAGAGGGTTTAGATCAAACTCGTGGATGGTTTGTTTCTCTTCTCTTCTCTTCTTTCATTGTGATATAATTTCACTATATTTGAGAAACCTGTAACAAATGCTTCTTTCAAACAGACAAGCTCATTTCATGTCTCTTTATCTTTGAAACATAAAATGGCAGGTTTTACACTCTGATGGTGTTGTCAACTGCATTATTTGAGAAACCTGCATTTAGGAATCTGATCTGCAATGGCCTTGTTTTGGCTGAAGATGGTAAAAAGATGAGTAAAAGATTGAAGAACTATCCTTCTCCTATGGAAGTTATTGATGAATATGGAGCTGTAAGTTCTCTATAAATTTTAATCTTGAACCCTAACATATATAATAATCATTTTCAGAAATTATTACAGGAATTATAAATTTGTTTGTTTACAGGATGCACTAAGGTTATACATTATAAATTCTCCAGTAGTGCGTGCAGAGCCTTTACGTTTCAGAAAAGATGGAGTTTATAATGTTGTATGTAATCTTTATTACCTTATTATAAAATTATAAGCACTCATAACTTCTATTTTTTTCTGTACTTTTGCTAATTTGAAAGCTGATTGATTACATATGCAGAAGAAAGATGTACTTTTACCATGGTACAATGCATACAGATTCCTTATCCAAAATGCAAAAAGACTTGAAGTTGAGGGTCTTCCACCTTTTATTCCTCATGATCCAACCACTCTTCTCAATTCCCTTAATTCCCTTGATAAGTGATCAACTCAGCCATTCAAAGCCTTGTTCATTTTGTCACACAAGAAATGGATTCCTATCGACTCTATACAGTAATATATCTATACACACACATATTGTTACATATAAATATGTAAATACTTATATGATACTACTTTTGCAGGTTGTTCCTTATCTCTTAAAGTTCATTGACAATTTGACCAATATATACGTAAGATTTAATCGTAAGATATTTAAAGGTCGCACTGGAGAAGAAGACTGCAGAATTGCACTTTCAACTCTCTACCATGTATGCTTTTCATTATTCTATTTTAATCATCACACATAATAATCTAATATTACTTAATTGGTTTTTATATTATATTACAATAGGTGCTTTTAACTTGTTGTAAAGTAATGGCTCCTTTCACACCCTTCTTCACTGAGGTTCTTTATCAAAACATGCGAAAAGTATCCAGTGGATCAGAGGAAAGCATTCACTTTTGTAGTTTCCCTCAAGTGGAAAGAAAGGTATATACAAATCTTTTCTCCTTATTCATTTTATTTTTCTTATTAAAACATTCTTCATGTTGCTAATTCTTGCATTCTAATGATTAATAATATTGTTTCAGGTAGGGAGTCGTATTGAACAAAGTGTTGAAAGAATGATGAAAGTTATTGATCTTGCACGTAATATTCGTGAGCTACACAATAAATCTCTCAAAATTCCACTCAGGTAATTTCCATGACATTTCTCTTTTTACAACTATTTACGTAATTACCCTTTTCTTTATAACCGAGACTAAATTATTAAATTGTTTCAGAGAAATGATTGTTGCACATACAGATGCTGAGTTTCTTGATGACATTACTGGAAAACTGGGAGAGGTCAGTCAGTGGGTTTTAATTTTGTTTTTCTTGAATGGCAAAATGGTAATTAATTAACCCTTCATTTTATTTGTTTGAATTTTCACAAACAGTATTTGTTAGAAGAGCTCAATGTTTTATCTGTTGTGCCATGTAATGATACTTTGATGTATGCTTATTTACGTGCTGAACCTAATTTCAGGTACTTGTATTTTTTTTTTTTTTCTCCTTTTCTTTTACCACAATTTTATTTTCAAAAATATTTTGAGCTTTATTTATGTTTAATTTTGTAGTGTGTTGGGAAAAAGACTGGGGAAGTCAATGCGAGTAGTTGCTGAAGCAGTGAAGGCAATGTCACAAGAAGAAATTTTAGCTTTTGAAAAATCAGGAGAAATTACTATTGCTAATCATTGCTTAAAGCTCTCTGATATCAAGGTACTTTGATACATTTGTTTATTTTTCACTCTTCCTTAGGTGGATTTTTCAAAGTACAAAATGTTAATAAAAGAGATAAAAAAAAAGTACATGAATATTTTTAAAATGGAATTTTGGTCTACTTAAAGACGTATGTATCTTGGCCTTGTAGATCATACGTGAGTTTAAACTCCCTGATGGGGTGACTGAAGAGGAAATGGGTGGATATGCTGATGGTGAGGAAACGTGACATCTTTTTTATAATTCTTTTTAAAAAAATAATAAAAAAAAAAGTTTAATATTTTTGTTAAAATATTATTTATAATTTTTTAGGTGATGTAACGGTGGTACTGGACTTACGCCCTGATGACTCCTTGTTTGAAGCTGGTTTTGCACGTCTGGTATTTTACTAAATCGATAATTACATTTGGTAGATAATTATGGTTTATAATTTATTTAATTTGAGACATTTAATTTCTGATGAAAATTCTTCTTATTATATTTATAGGTTGTTAATCGTATCCAAAAGTTAAGGAAAGATTCTAAACTTAAACCCACCGACATTGTGGAGGTCTACTTCAAGTCATTGGATGAAGACACATCACTCTCTTCCAAAATTTTAAAATCTCAGGTGATTAAATTTATTTCTTGATGATAATTATAATTATAATTATTGTTATGATTATGATTTTTATTATTATTTGTACCTTTTTGCAGGAAGCATACATCATAGAGGCGATAGGTTCTCCTTTACTTGATTATCATCTGTGTCCTGACAATGCTGTAAGATTTAACACATACATTATTATATGTAATAATTATTGCTTTTGATGGTATATTTAGAATTAAATTGATACTAGTTTATGATGTATGTTGAATTAAATTTTTATTTTTCAAAATTATTTAAAAAAAGTAAATAGTGTTATATTGTAAAAAGCCAATAGATAAACGGGTTGTTATTGGAAACCTTTAAAAGTTCAAAAATGGAATATGTCTAGAATATTGGTGTAATACGTTGGAGAGAATTACTATTTACACTTTTTTTTAATTATTATTTTGCAGGTAATTGTTGTTAAGGAGACGTACGACAATATTTCAAAATTGTGACTTTGAGATCATTTTGTCAACACCAACTTTAACATTCAACGATAATGCAATCCTTCATTTATGTACAGGTCAACTCTCTCTCTTTTGCTCCTTTTTTATGAATTTCATGATTAACTAATATATTATATTAATTATAATATAAAAGTATTACGAAAGATGCAAATGCGTGTTTGGTTAAGGTGATAAAATAAAACCACACCTTTTTTGTCTTACACAAATTGCAATCCACTCTCCTTTTAACAAATTTCATAAAAAAAAATGCAGCGTATTGCACAAATTATAATAATTATTTAATAAAGCACAAATCTATTTCTTTAAAACAGGGAATGCGAAATATGCAGAGGCATTGAAGGTATATTTGTTATCGAGGGACCACTCCAATCTGAAATTAGAATTTCGACGAGGAAATTGCAAGGTTTTGTTTTCAAAAAGTTTTTTTAATTATTATTTATTTTCCAAATTTAAAAGGCGATTAATTAGTTTTCATTGTGTTATAGATTAAAGTGGATTGCATTGAAAATCAGCCAGCTGTCGATGTGGTGTTGGGAGAACATGTGTTCTTGACAGTTGGGGATTATTACTCCCCAACCACCAACAACAATTGATGAATATAATAGTATGATGGTGTTGTTTTTATAGATTTGGCAGTTTTTTGGTTTAATTTATATACACAACTTGTTTCATAGAAACCATACCCCTTTTTTAAACCAAGGGGTCAATAGATTTTGCTTAATTTTAGTTCTAATTTGATAAAGATTTCGTTTTGTGTTCTTAAGATTTTTGCAAACCAATATTCACAATTACCTCAATACGCCCATACAGAATTCATACAAATATTTGTGTCTATCCAAGTATTAACAATATTTTAATATCTCCATGCTCAACATGAAAGTACAAGAAGAATTTGATGAGTCAAAAAAAAAAAAAAAACGAATACAGGAAGAATAAGCAAAAAAATGGAATGAGGGCGCAGATCAACTTTTCAAAATAAGTAATATTTTGAGGACATCAATATAGAGGAAGAGGAATAACACGTTCATAAAGCTGCAAAATACCTCAATGGAAAGGAAAGAAACTATTATCCTTAAGGAAGCAGATTTTGAAGAACATCTACAAAAGATCATTTCAGAATCTATCGAATTTAGTAGTTGTGAAAAAGATGAAGGCGATGAACCAAAAAATGCGTATCATGGATGAAAAGTTTTGCTAAAGATTTATGTCGTGCATGCATGATTATTTGAATGCGTTGAATGTGATTCTGTGTTGAATGCGAATTTCAAATCGTATGAATGAAATCACAAAGTAAAGTTAGGAATGAAATGTATTTATGTATTTTATATTTAGTTTTGTTTTTTATTTTTCATTAATGGAATTTTATTTTAATTATAGTTTTATATTTTTTAATTAGTTTCTATTTATTTTAAATATATCCTCATCTAATAAAAAATCAATCTTTTGCGGCATCACATCTCCTCAGCCCTCACTCAGCTTTTTTCCCACCTAGATTTTCAATGTGAACTATCGAAACTACCATTATCCTTATATAAACTCCGTGACCATCAAATCCAATAATCTCATATTTCGGCCTCTTTTTCAACCTCTCACTAAACCATAAAAATCAAGAGATCCAAAATTTTCAAATTTTAAACTCTCAACGTTTCCTATTACCAAATTTAAAGAATAAGGAATGATCTAAATTTTTTAGGAAATCTCCACTAAAGTCTTAATATGAGTAAATTACTGAAGTCGTCTCTATGGTTTGGTCAAAATTGCATGTTTGGTCCCTAACGTTTTTTTGCACTTGGATCGTACCCGTGGTTTGATTTTATTGCACTTTTCGTCCCTTACGTACATAAAGTTAGGGACCAAACGTGCAATTTTGACAAAATCATAGGGACGAAAAACGCAACAAAATCAAACCACGGGGACGATCCGAGTGCAAAAAAATAGTTAGGGACCAAACGTGCAATTTTGACCAAACCATAGGGACGATTTCAGTAATTTACTCTCTTAATATTTTGGTCTAGTTTTTGAAAAAATCCCAAATTTTATTTTAATAAAAAAGTCCCGATTACCGGTTAAAAAAATCAAACCAGTAATTTTTACCGGTAAACTATTTTTTTACCCAGTCACCTATAGAAAAATCCAATTATTTTGGTATAGTTTATGAAAAAAGTCCCATTTTTTTTACTTCTATATCTCTTACTATTTTAAACAATTTATTTAATCTACTATATAAACAAAAAAAAAAAATCATACAAATAGGAGTTGTACTCTACAAATGAATATAACTACACTATATATAAATATAAAGGAGCTACAACCCACATAAGTCATAAAATATTTTACCTACATGTCATAAATGAGTATTTTAAGCCATCAAATCATGCTCCATGGAAAGCTTTCCACCCAACAATTTAAAATAAAGATGTGTTTTAGATGGCATATCAATGTATAACATTATTATTTTATACTATGCCAATTGATGCAATGATGAACTTGCTCTCGACATAGTTTGCACGAAAGACAAGAAAATTGATCACATCACACTTCCTAGCCCACATGGTCCAAAGTTTGGTGTGCTTCATAGTGTAGAAGATGTAAGAAAATCAATTTTAATTCATTTGTTTGATTAGTTTTAAGGAGCTTGTATATATACCTAGTTGATTTTTTTGCTAATCGGATAAACAACTAAAAAACCGGAATGTAGTATCATAAAATGACCAAAATTTCAACTTTTATCACCTATTTTGTGATATAATTTTTTGTTTTTGATTAAATTGCTTTATTAGTAAAACCCACTAAAAAAATAAGTATTCGTTTCAATGAAAATGTTATCATTTTCCAGAAAATTGTTGCCATTTTTGTGAAAAGAAAAAAAATCAATTTCTTTTTATGTGAAAAAGGTAGTGGAACTGCTAAGGTAACAATTTTGTTAATCCATTTGGAATATCTTGTCATTTTGTGATTGGTTTTAGAAGACATGTGTGGCTATTTGTGTGATTATTATTATTATTATTATTATTATTATTATTATTTTGGTATTTGATTTAATCTTCAACAAATTCTTCTTTTCTATTCGACCATCTATCATCCCATATTTTAGCATAACAAATTGTACTGTGTTTGACGTGCATAGGACTAAGACTGATTTCAATAGGACATAAATTGCAACTTTTTGTCTCACACAAAATGGTGTGACAAGGACTTGGCTTGTGCGAATACCTTGAATGTCCTCATCTTCATCATTTTTCCAAAATAGCCCTAGAAAAATTTCCATGTGTAACAAACACATCCGCAAAATATTTTGTTAAATTTGTTGCATGATTTCAGGTATATATTTGACTGGTATGTATTTTACTATTGGTTTGAGAGTGGATCGATGCCATCCACTACCCGTTTGAAAATGAGGAATTCTTCTAAAAGAACTTCCCTGGACATTTTTTTGCAGAGGGTTTAGATCAAACTCGTGCATGGTTTGTTTCTTTTCCCTCCTTTAACCTAATGCCATTCTTTTGCAATCAATGACACAATAACTTGCAACTTTTTGCCCCACCCAGAAAGGTTGAACTTGGGACAGAGACCCACACTCGATATTTCATATGTACAAAAAACGTAAATGCCCTCCTTGTCCTTATAATCTAAAATATCCCTACAAAGCTTGTCCATCCCCGTGTAACAACCACACTCATTAGAATAGAAAAAAGGAAAAAAAAATAACACTAGAGGAATCTATTCGTGTGTCGACGACAATTTTTAATCCTATACTGATGACAAGTCGTCGGGATAGCTTATACTGATGACAAGTCATCGAGATAGCCTCTACCAGCGAAAAGTCGTCAGTGCAGAATCGTTAGAATAGCCTTTTCGTTGTAGGTGGATATCGTCGTCGGGATTGGTACCACCTATACCTACTACAATTCGTCTACACAAGGTCTGTTGAGACCGATTTTCGGGGGAAAAATGTTTTATTATTTACTTTTTCCGACGACTTGTCATCGTTATAGTGTCAACCTATACCGACGACATGCTTCAGGTATATATAGTATATATATAGGTTGACACAATAGCGACAACAAGTCGACACAAGTTTGTAACCGTTTTTATATATTGAGCTATAGCGACGACTTGTCGTCGGTATAGGTCAAAACCGTTTTTACAGTTAATACCTATACCGATGACATGTCGTTGGTATAGCCACAATATGTTTTTTTTTTAGTTTTTATAGATTATGTTATTTACCATTTCTTTTTGTTTAACAAATGCAGACAATTTGCAACATATATCCATAATATACAAACATTCAATAAATATTACCAACACACATTGTTCAAATTCAAGTATAATACATACCAAAATGAGATACAATAAACTAATATTGTTCAAAATAACACAAAAAATCAATCATCATAATCTTCTTCCATCTCCTCGGGTTTCCTCGGTCTCGTTAGTTTGTTCAGGGGTCTTTCGTCGAAATATATTGGGATTGAATTGAAAGTTAGGAATTGGTGGTGGTTAGAAGTTAGGAATTACGGTCGTCAATGAGTCATTATGCCCTTTTTGCTTTTGTTGCAAGTATTCTTGCATTTCTTGGGTTAATGTGAAAAATTGGGAATCACTCGTATTTTGGGGTTGAGATCGGGAAGATTTGAAAGCCCGTTGATTTGTAAATAAACCTATGTTGGTGGTTGGTTTCTTTCCCACTCCATGAGTATGTCCGTATCTCGTCCCAAGGGCACGATTGAGACATTCAAGCTCATTTATATCTTCTCCCTTTGCGACCTTGTAACAACCTAAAATTTTGAAAGATTTGACTTTTAGCCAAATATTGAGCAAAAGGGCAATTTGTTCATTTACGATAAAAAGATGAGATTATGAAGTTGTGACTTCATGTAAATGTACAATAAGTGTTTAAGTCACTAAGAAGAGGTTATATAAGTAAGTTCAAGAGAAAGAATGTATGAGAAGATGCATTTTTGAACTCACTTAACAGGGGCTGACACTTGTTTCATTTCTCTTTTGTGCCTTATGATTGGCGCAGGCAGCTTAGGAGTTTGGCCTTGGTGAGAGGGGTTGATTATGGGTAGTTATGCTAAATATATGATACCATTTGGAGACGTTTGATGTTTTATCAAAATTGAACATTCACTTTTGTTATGTTAAAAATGGTTTGAATTTATGATTTCGATTTTGAAGTAACTTGGTGATTTGAAAATGTTTTGAAATAAATGACCAAGTCTTCCACTAACGTATTCTGTTAAAGTTTGTTTTAAAAAAAATTATGGCAAAAATCATGACATTACAACATGAGTATATTTTCTTTGGGAATGAGATTGAGACTAAGTAGAGATGAGATATACAAAGAGTATGAGATTGAGTAGAGATAGGATATAATAAAGTATACAAGACTGAGTAGAGATGAGATATACATAGTGTATGAGATTGAGTAGAGATTGAATATAACAAAGTATATGAGACTAAGTAGAGATGAGATATACATAGTATATGAAACTGAGTAGAGATGAGATATAATATGGTTACATGAGATAGAGCAGAGACGAAAGATACCATAGCATATGAGAGAGAGTAGAGATGAAATTTAACAGAATATAAAAGACAGATAAAAGATGATATATATTAGAGCA